ACTGTATATTATTTACATGCATTCCTTTAAAAATAAATATTTGTATGAATGCTAAAAACAATATAAAACCATATTTATTTTGTACTTAAGTACACATGTCGTACTATGAACACCAAGACAAAGACATGTTATGCCCATTGCCCAAACTGATGTTCATGATAATATAAAGGTAAACAACAGAAATACCAAGTCCTGTATTAACACAAAGAAGTTCGTTTTTATTGCTATTTTGCATGGGTCTCTAATCGCTATTATGACCAGTCAATCAAACATACAATCAACTGCTATGAAGCGTTGAGTTGTGGGCCCCAGGTTTTGCTAACCAGGTATTTACATGTATTCAAACATGAAAATTTACGCACATACGTGTACACTGTACTGTACTGTACATGTACATAATTTTTTATTACAGTTCACATGTTCCACTTCTTCGGGAGTATACATGAAGTTGTACATGTACTCACTTGGCTGTGTTGACAACAATTTAGCCAGGATTTGAAATACATGTAGAAGAATTTTGATTGTGATAATTCTTTATTCATACAGTTGTAATTAAAGTTAAATGTATTCAGTTCAACTCACTTTGAGATGGATCAGAATGACTATGGTATTAAACTCCCTGCTGCTGTTGCTTTGGAAGCTATTAATAAACCTGTTCACATTAAGGGATATTAACCGGTAGGCAACTTTCAGACTAGAACAAAAAAAAATCTTATCATACTGCATACGTTGTAACTACTGTACATGTACATGTACATGTACATGTATACAGATTTTTAGTAGTCTGAACTACATGTAGATGTTTAGTCAAAGAAGGATGTTTCTCATTGATAGTGAGATAGTGTAAACACCTTCTCAAACATGTGTTAATGCATCATCCTACAATGTAGCTACAAAGATCTGCATGCATAAAAGACAGGATGCCTAGCCAGGATATCCTCCCATAAATTATCACATACATGTACATTTACAATCCAGGCAATTCATCAAAAAGTAAACTTAAGTGAGACTGAGAAGTAGCAATATTGTAATCACATGATTTGAGGGGGCGTGTTAGAGTTGGTTGTGCAGGGACTGGGAATACGTACAGTACTTGTACAAAGCACAGTAGTAGGATTACTGTACAAGCTCTGATACAAGTAATATACATGTATTTACATGTACAGTTTAGGTACGTTAGTATCATTCAGTAAATTATGGAATCTGAGCAAATTTAGAGAGCACATTATAAAAAAATGACATCAATTGGTTGCATGGATTTTTTTCTACTTCAAATCAAGCAAACTCTCCAAAAGCTCCGGTTCACAAATTACCTCCTTTTTTTTATTGCACTTAATACACTAAAACATGTAGACATATTTTGTACTCGTGTACTGTAATGTACATGTACCTGTATAGTTGTAAGAATAATTGACACCCCTCACACATTCTAACTTTTAATGACAAGTACTCCATCTATCCATTTAAAAAAAAAAATGTTGGTATGAATGTTCAGTCTAATTTACACCATGTACAGGGTAGTGTAAGACTTACAAATGATCCAGCCTTTATCCAACCTGCATTATCTCATCACATTAAAAACAAAGAATAACCTTGTTCATGTTCTGCAGATGCGTGATAGTGAATTCCTACCTTGAAACATCCATACATCAATGTCAAGCATGCACTCTGATGCCATCGTTTATCAGCATCAAATGTGCCAGCCAGATGCTCATTACAGTCTACATGTGTTCTTACCATTATCATTATGGGAAGTTTTCTTTTATTTGGTGTACATTTTATCTGCGAAAAAGATTCTTACTAAAAAAAAAATTATATCTGATTTTAGCACTTCTAAATAAAGGATATTTATCATAAAAAGGAAGGCATCTTGTGCATTCGCTAAGTTTTGTATGATACTGTAGGTAAAGTCCAAAGTCCAAAACAGGAGTGGTCCTCATGTAGGGTAAAAATTTGGCCAAACGAAAGCCAAGACCTGTCAGTCCTCTGTTTGAAAAGATGCTTGTTGAATGAGATCAGACTAGCACCTGCTGGTTTTCACAGAAAGTGTCCCCAAATGACTGAATTTCCACTTATGAAAAGTTTCAATATCATTGATTGACCACCCAATGAACCCTATTGTGTGGACTGAGCCTGACCAGAGACATGTCCCCTGGTCCAACCTTCACAGGTTGAAGTAGTTTTCTTTTCTTTTTTTCTACAGGAAAATGCACAGCTTGCTATACAAGTACCGGTATTCTTTATTTTAAAAATAAAAGTATATAAAAAGGGTCAAAGCAACTACCACCATCCGTTTCTGATTTCCCTACAAATGTCACATCCTCAGTTCTGTGCTTTTAAATCTAACCTTGAAATAGTCAAGGGTGTTCAGAGAATGACAATTTTAGAATGTTCCAGCAATGATGAGTAAGTATAAGTATGATAAGTAGAAAAAGAAAAAAGAAGAGAAATAAAAACAATAAAAAAAATAGAAATTGCTGTGTATGGACCCCACATTTTTGTAGAAAATTCAAACAGAGCTTTTAATGTAAAGGATTATTTTTTCACTACTTTGAGGTCTGGTAATGTTTGTTCCCCCCCCCCCCCCCCTAGATATTTCACGAAATGTACATGAACAATGTATCGAAAGTCAGACGTCATGTGTCAGCATGATTCATAGGTTAGTCATAAAAATAGTTATTATTTGTAGGAGAATCCAAGAACGTGGGACATGAAAGGTCGAGGGAGAGTCTCACAGGTGTGCTATAGACTTGGTCTGGTGTTCCAGACTGTAAATGTATATATTGACAAGATGTTTTACAGGGATTGTTTTAACAAAAAACTGAGTCAATAAAAAATTAATAAATAAAATGAATAAAATAACTAATAACTCACCAGGGGATAATATGAAATTTTGCTGTTTTATTATTTTTTTCAAAGCTTTACTTGTACAGTGCACACTGGCATTTAAATTATAAGAAGGCCTATAGATATAATATCATTTTAACATTCATATTGCTGTTCCCTACTTGAACAAGATACCTACATGTACACTGTAGGAAGAAGCATGCATGAACCTTGATGCATTACGAAAATGTGCAATGAAATTCTTTGGAAAAAAGAACAAGATGTTTTAAGTTACATGTATTACACACAGAGTACATGTACAGGTAGAACTACAAATGTACTTCATGATAATGGTTTTGATGTACAGTACATTTACGGTATTAAAGTCTGCTGGTGAGACAAATTACTTGACCTCCAGCGAACTTTGGAAAAAGATGTGGGTAGAATGTGGAATACACAGACATTTTTGTATATATACTGTACATGAATAAAGATATGGAGACAAGAGAGAGATGGAGAAAGAAAAGAGGAGAGATGCATATAATATGAGGAAAAGAGATTTAAAAAAAAGTTTAACAGTAGACAGGTAATTGATGACCTCAATACATTGCACCAGTTTGGTTGAGTGTACAATGTATGAGGATTGTCAACAATTTAAAGTCTTGTTGAAAATCCAGGTTGTTAATGATTGTACATGTACATGATAATATTTTTAAACAGTTACAGCGAACATGTTCCTTTGTTCACATTAAACTTTTGTTACTTTACCGGTATGTTTGATTTTGCTCATTTTAAAATAAATGTACAGTATTTATTGCGAAAATATAAGGAATGACTAATCTTTAATACAGCAAAAGAGCTGCAAATTGAAAGATGTGAAAGTGAATTTGTAGTTTGGAACTACAAGTTCATCTCTAGATCCTAAAAAATTGTAAGGGATATAAATTTATCAGTATAAATAATAAAAGTGTCTGAAAGTGTAATTGTATAAAAAAAAAAAGCTAATCAGCTTTCCCATAATACCATCATCGCATTGTTTACAGCTTTAATAAATAGGACTCAAAGTCTGAACGTCACAATTCAAAAGTATGCACTGTTACACATGTACGCGTTAGTGCCACACCGTACTAATGCAATGTCATTACATCCAGCCACTGCATGCACAAGCTATCCCACCCTCATGCAGTGCTCTATCCGGGATCATTAACATATCGTCTGCAGTAGCCATGGCACTCGCTATTTACCGAAAATGTATTGCACCGGCAGCACCGCAGCTAGAAATGGATAGATGCGGGGTGTATCGGAGGGCCACATGTATGATGAGTGAATGCAAGTCCCTCAGAGAACAAACAGCAGTAATTGAAAAACGGAATTGTTACTTTCCCATTGATATTGTTCAAATATATATTCGTGCTGGTAATATTATTGGGTTGGGAAATGTAATAATGGATGGATGCCAAGTTATTGCTTGGTTTATTTCTCGTGTAATCAATCAATTACCTCACAAAAGTCAGCCTTGCCTTTTGTTGTAGTGTTGATTATGAAAAGTTAATGATTATGAGGTGGATGGTGGCAAGAAATTTCCATTAGTAAATTTCCAGCCTTTGAAATCCTGTGCTGGAAATTGATGTGTTTGTTGTACAAATGGAGCATCAGTGTTTAATGTGAATATGAAAACTATCAAATTGGCATTGTGTGTGTAGTCCATTGCAAAAAACTGAAAAAAAGAGTTTAATTTTGATGTATTTCCTGCAATATCTGGTGTAATTTCATTTTTTTTGTTGCATAATATATTTATACAAAAACATAACGGTTATTAAAAGAAAGAGACCTATACACGTACATGTATGTTCATGTAAGTTTTCTCAATTCAAAGAACGAACAAAAACAAACAAAAATATTCTAAAAATCCTTTCAGAAGTCTTGTCATCCTTGAGAAGGAAAATCCATGCAGTTCATTACATTTCATGTGAATGTACATTGTACATGTACATGTACATGTATTATAAGAAATTGTCACTCTCCTGAAGACGATCCAAGCTTTCTGATCGAAATGCCAAAAAGCAATTCTTATTCCTTTGACAAAATTATGCGGTGTATTAACCCAGAAAGCTTTATTTCAAACTAATAATGCTTAATGTTTTAATTTTCAATTTTTATTTCTTGTCTTATAGATCTACTGCAGTGCACTGCTGCAGAACATATCAGCATTCCAGACCTAGCAGACCAGATTGTACATAGATCAACCAATGGCAACTGGGTCGTCGTTTTCAAAACGTTAATAACAACACACCAACTCATGGTCTATGGCAATGATGTAAGTATGATCAATTGTTATGCTACTCCACAGATTGCTTAAACTGATAGGTGAAGTCTATCCTAATATTAATTTGGTTTTAAAAGATCAACTAGATCAAACTGGGGGAACTGGGACATCGTTTTCAAAACGTTAATAACAACACACCAACTCATGGTCTATGGCAATGATGTAAGTATGATCAATTGTTATGCTACTCCACAGATTGCTTAAACTGATAGGTGAAGTCTATCCTAATATTAATTTGGTTTTAAAAGATCAACTAGATCTAACTGGGGGAACTGGGACATCGTTTTCAAAACGTCAATAACAACACACCAACTCATGGTCTATGGCAATGATGTAAGTATGATCAATTGTTATGCTACTCCACATATTGCTTAAACTTATATAGGGGAAGTCTAATATTCAGTTGGTTTTAAAAGATCAACCAATGTGAACTGGGTCATCATTTTTAAAATGTTAATAACCACACACCTACTCATGGTGCATGGCAATGATGTACATGTAAGCATGGTCATTATCGATGCTACTCCATAGACTGCTCAGTGGTAGAGCAGTGGTCTCGTAACCGGGAGGTCCCTGGTTCAAAACCAAGTCAATGCCCTAGTGCCCTTTGGTAAGGCATTAATCCTCATTACCAAGTCTCTCAGAGGGGTCTTAAAGTCGTTGGGCCCCCTAGTTGCAATACTTACAAGCATACACACGCTTTTTTAGCAGTCAGGTTTGATAAACAGACAAAACAACCAAAATAAAAAAATAAAACAACAAAACAATAACAATAACAAATGCATTTAATTTAAACCTTCATTGTGAAATAGTCAGTGCATTACTTGTTGCGAAGGCATCATCTTTTGAGAGCTAAAAAGGATTAACTCACATCATATTTCATAGAGCAAACGCCCTTCTGCCTTTCAGCAGGCAACTTTATTGTCCTTGCCTTCAATTTGAGAGGCATTTTGTAAGGGTTGACAACAGGATCTCTGCCACTTGGACATTTGTTTATTTATTTATTTATACAATGTACATGGATTGCTTCTGATGGGTATTGGGGCTCTAGAACAGGACAAGGAAACCTGTGAGGCATTTGACATTTTGAAAGACATCTGTACTTTCTTCTTGTCCCTATCTTCCCATTTTTCCTTGAGACTCCCTCTCATCTCAGCCAATCGACCTGACCTTTGCTTTGTTTACAGGCCCAGAATCTGGTGGTTGCAATTAAGATTTTCCCCAACTCAAATACATACATTGTACATGAACTCCTTCACTACAGGAACTGAGAATATAAACAATGTTTTGTCTTTACTATAGACCGGTCACATGTACATTGCAGATGATTATTATGATAAATGGGTGGTCACATGTAGATGAGTATTATGATAAATGGGTAAACACTGTACAAAAAATGTTTTTATGATGATTTTGCTGATTCTTCTGACATAATTTATCATCCTTACCAAATGTTTGCTTCCTGTCATTTCTGCCCCATTTCTATGAGAATATACCCTGTACAAGTAGGAGAACTATATGTAGAACATTAAAGTACGTGTAGATAAATGCCTCGGTTCATAAATTTATCTTAAAATACTATAAGAATGTGACTGAAGGATTTAAAGAAAACAATCAGCGTTAAATGAGGGGAAATTGATCCTTGTCATAATATAGTTTAAACAAAATTGAGATCATGAGAGAAACAACTCCAAATTTGTAGATATCATCGCAACTAACTGAACAATGTGAAAGAAATTCCTTACCATTGTTCCTACTCAATAATCCTGCCTCACATATCCTTTTACTGAGACTGAATTTTCTTTGATTGAAGCGGTCTTCATATTGAGATTGTCGTTGTATTCTTTATGCTGGATTTTCCCTCTTTGTTATTCCTCTACAATAGATATTAATATTTAAAAAATTCAAATCAAATTTTTTTTCCCCTTCAATTTGAATTAAATTCGAAATTTGAAATTGAAATTGAAATTGAAATTGATATTAATATATTTTTGAATAAAGATAATCTTGAAATAAACCATCTTGTGTTTTATTGCTTGTGTTCTTGCAGCGCTTCATGTGGAATCTAGCAACGAGAGCCAGTGTTTTCAGTTTGGATGATTTCACAGACAAAACAAATGTGCAAGGTCAGTTCAACTTTTTTCCTTTTGTTTGATTTCTACAGAATTATACATCAAATATGATCTATTTACAAATAATTATCTTAATGATGATGATCATCATCATCATCAACTTCAGGTGGCGCTTTAAACCGCTGCTGTGGTCTTCACGAGAGCACGCTTTGCAACTCTTTCACCTGCCATTTGTGTTGCACCTTTCATTCTTTGTCCAGACACTTTCTTGATATCATCAACCTGTACATTTAAGGCTCCTAGCTTAAAAAAAAAGAATCCTTCCATGAAAGTTTGGAAGAATAAACCATAAATCAAGTCTTCTAGCATACACTGTACATATCTAAACTATCTTCTTTTTTCTCCTTTTTTTAATTACTTATTTCCAAATACATCATTGTCCGACAATTGGTCTGATTTTGGTCAATCTTCAAACAATATTCCCATTTGAGAATATCATACTTCTAATACTTGGGTACCAGTAAGCTAGGAGCCTTACATGTACATGTACATGTTGAAGAAAAGTTAGCTTTAGATAATAATAATAAATGTACACTGTAAATTACACTGTACATGTATATAGTGCCAAATCCACCCTGTGGAGTGCTCAAGGCGCATATCATGTTGTTACATCCTGGAATTATGGCAACCAGCAGGTTTTTCATCAAGGAAAACAAAAACATAGCTGTAATCAATATCTTGATGAATTTTTAAAAGAAGTTATCCCTGTCATGTTGTACATCCAGAAGATCTTGTTTGTGATCACATCTAATAGCAATGCATTTGAAAGGCGACATTGAACATTGGAAATTAGAGATTTATTTCCAAAAAAAAGAGGAAGATAAAGAAAAGCTCAATCATACTGTCATTCATCATGAAATCTATTTGTTGGTTGTTATTTAAATTTCTTTTAGAATTAAAGGGTAGTTTACAAATGAAAAGGGGTCTTTGGGCAGTTTGATTCATTTACATGTATTTATTCAGGTTTTGTCTGTTAATGCCATTTCCAATCATTTTGGGCATGGCTTTACATTCAGACTTACAGTACAGTGAAGTCTTCATGCTGGATTAGAGAAACTTACCTGTAAATCAGTAGCACCTTAATCTATCGTAATTAACGGTGTATTAACCCCACTTTTTTGCCGCCGAAGAAAATTCAAAGTCGGGGGTGCGTCTTATACTGTACATGGTACACCAAAAGAAAAAATGCCTGGCAATGTCTCCCAGCTCAGTAATCGGTGTGTTGACTCACCACTCGGAAACTAGAACAACACTCAAATTTGTCTGTCATCTTGGTTTGAAAGTAATCTTTCTGATAGATCTCATTACATTGTATGTAGTTTATAATAATAATTCCTCCAATTTTTCTTCTATTACATGGCATACCACAAGGTTCTATCCTACAGGGTGTAGGTCCTCTACTGTTTTTAAATTTACATTAATGATCTTACACATTTAACTGCACCTCGCAGTTAAATGAAAGGCCTTCCCGCGTGGGTTTTTTAACACGGACCTGGCTTGCAAAAAAAAAATATATATACATTTTTTTTTAAGGGTGAAAAAGAGGGGTGCGGTTAATACACGAGGGCGGTTTATACACTGTTAATTACGGTATGTTCATATAATGTGATATAAATTCCAATTCCTTCTAAAGGACAATCCAATTCTTGGTAGTAAGTTGTATTTAAGGAGGGCAAAAAATTGAACAGATTGGTGAACCTTAAAATGGAATCAGAAGGGTTAAAGTCTGTTATCAAACCCATATCATTTTAATTTTTGTTGTACATTGCATATATTTTGTATCTTTAAAAAAAAAAGAATGCTTTTGAAAGCGAGTAAATAAGTGAAATGTTTGAAATAAGAATCAAAAACTGAATCGCATTGTAAGAAGTTTCACCTCTGGACAAGTGAATGTTATGTCTGCAGTGTAAAGGAACTCATGCGATTGTATTAGCACACATGTACAGTACATGTAATTATTTACTGTCTGCATTATTATTGTACATACATGTATGATCCAGGCCTACTGAAAGACCTTGATCGGCTGATAACAGAATGCAGCAAAGTAGATTAACAAATAAGAATATGACCAACATTTATAAAAACTTCAGTGTCAATTGAGGGGAGTGCATGGGCGTACACACGTGTAGGTCTCTATGAAGCTGAAAGTACCGGTACTGAACTGTGCAAGTACTGTATTCAAAAGGTTAAAGCCTTCCCTGATATTAGAAGCAGTAGAATGAAAAGGAACAGGTCAGTGAAAGCTTGAGCAAAAGCCGACTAAAAATGAGAAAGGAATGAAGTTTTGAAGTTGTGATCAATCAAACACAAATTGCCAACACTTTGACGTATCTTGCAAGCTCCTCTCCAATTTGCACTGTACATAAAATTTCATAAACTTTCATCACCTTTGTTTTTGATGACAGAACAGATTTTTTTTTTCCATACTGGAGGTGTGAAGAAACGTATTTTGAAAAATTATAGTTAAGATGCATGAATGATTGAATTTTTTTAAAGGGAATAACAACTACTGATATTTTTAGTACAGAGCAAATGGGAGGGGACCTCGCTAGATACGTCACAGATTTGCATTTTGAATGATCTCTACTTCAAAAATTCATAACTTTCTTATTTTGAACAGGAATTTGCTCAATCTCTCACTGACCACCTCTTCCTCTCATACTTTGTGCTTCTATGAAAAACCAACTTAATACCAGGGACCAATGTGGACTACCCCTTTAATATCTGGTAGATTCTGCAAGAAGGAACAAATGATAGGAATCAAACCATTCACCCATATCAGTGAACGATGTGACCTTTTGATAGGTGAAATTGTATTCAAAATTAAATTCCTGCATATCTCCATTGATCACTCCTAGTACAATGGAAGTGGACTTTGGTTTGTGGGAGGTGACTTGCTGTAGAAATAGATAACTCAGCTTTTGTACTCTTTTGCAAGTTATTAACAAACTTTGAAATATATACCTAGATATTCATACTGGGCAAATTTGAGGCACTGCCCTAGACACATGTTAGTGCTACTGTATAATATTTATTTGGTACACTATTAAACCTATTCGACAAATAAAAACATAAGCAGAGTAATAAATGGGGGCGTGGAGGATGGAAGTTCTTAGTTTTATGAACAGGCTAAACAATAAGCATGATACATGTACAGTTGTAGATGTACTTGTGAATAACCTTACCATTTATTAGGAACTTTTAGTCCTACATTTTTTTGGAGACAAAATATATTGAAATATGAAAGAAATTTTGAAGATACTTGTAGGCCTACATGTTTCAAAGTGTGAATCTAATTTGATTTTTAAAAATATTAGCTTTACAGTTTATAAGGTCTTTTCATCTTGTAAGCCTGTATATTTCTCCATTTCAAGTCGAGATGTACGTGTAGTATTTGTCTAATACATATACACGTACATGTATACGGACAAGCAGACATCTGTTGTAATCATTACCACTACAGGTTTCATTGATCATTCTTTACATGTATGTGCGGAAGGAATCTTGCTTCCACCCAGGAATGGATACGCGTCCGGAATTAGAATCTTACCTGGGATATGGAACAGGAAGGGAGAAAGGGTCACTTGCGTGCTACATAGGCCTGTCCTCATCAGCTCAAGTTTGCCAAACAACCTGCTATTATCAGACTCGGGATATTATCCCGAAGCTCGAAATCGCGTCCTCACCAGACCGATACGCTCATCACAAACTACAGTAGCTGTAGCTCAGACTGACTCAAATTAGCCAGCTATTTCCCAAATAGCTAGATATTTTGGAAACAAGACCAAGATATTTTCTCGAACAAATATCGCGATAATTGCAACTGTGGGCTGATGAGGATGCAACTGAACTGGTTAATTTGTGATCGGTATAGTTGAAATAACAAGTTACTCGGCAATCTTGAGCTGATGAGGACAGTCATATTGTAACTCCAATGATGCATAGAACATCCGCACAAAACCTTCCCAAAAATGTCTTTTATACCTGCATCCTCTGTGGTTGGAGTGGTCACTGTAAAGGCTCGTCGTGGTAAACCACCACGAAAAACATTTAACGTTCATTTCATCAGGGAAGTTTACAACATGATTGCTTTTGAGAAGCCCCCGCCCCGCCCCCATTTGTAAATTTAGGGTGCGTTTAATCGACACTTTTTCACCCTAGAATCACGGTTTCTAAAGACGTTTAGTTTAAAACGCAATGCGTTCAAGCGATTTTTTCGTCGGTCGTAAAAATAAACGTGTTTGAAAACACAAACATGAAACGCTGAAAAAGATGCGTTTTGTATCATGATTCTGCAGAATCACGGTCGCTAAAATTCGATTGAACGGACGGAGTTTTCAATCATGATTGTATGACGGAGCCTGTTCTGGTTTGGACAAAAACCGCGCGCCTGCATTTCATGCAATTTGCGTTTACCATACCATGCTCTTTATCGTGGCCTGTTCCGTTATGTTATACCTTGTTTTCCTCTTTTTCTCTTTCTGTCTTTCCTTATGTTATTCTTTGTTTCTTCCTTCTATTCTTATGTTATTCTTTGTTTTTTCCTTCTATCACCTTCTCTTATGTTATTCTTTATTTTTATAATTCTATCACTTTCTCTTTTGTTATTCTTTGTTTCTTCCTTCTATTCTTATGTTAATCTTTGTTCTTTTCCTTCTATCAGCTTTTCTTATGTAATTCTTTGTTTTTTCCCTTCACTCACATTCTCTTATGTTCTTCTTTGTTTTAATCATTCTATCACTTTTTCTTTCTGTCTTTCCTTATGTTATTCTTTGTTTCTCCCTTTTATCACCTTCTCTTATGTTATCTTTGTTTTTATAATTCTATCACTTTCTCTTTTGTTATTCTTTGTTTTTCCTTCTATCACCTTCTCTTATGTTATTCTTTGTTTTTATAATTCTATCACTTTCTCTTTTGTTATTCTTTGTTTCTTCCTTCTATTCTTATGTTAATCTTTGTTTTTTTCCTTCTATCAGCTTTGTGTATGTAATTCT